AATAACAACAACAACAACAACATGCCTCCGAGCAGAATAAATGCAAATGAATAAAAAACAGCCTGAGCAACACGGAAATGCCTGATCAGAGAGGTAAAATAATAGCGCACAAACCCTGTAAAAGAGCAAAATATTCATCACTGGATTTCTTCATGATCTCTGGGGTACACGTGGTGTCTGTGAACATGTCCAGCAGACGGGCGCGCGTCGTTCTCAAGTCACTGAGACACAGATTTAACATTTATATCAGAAAAATGATCATGCACATACAGTAGGGTGGCCTTTTTCTCCCAGATGGGATTTCCAAATTGCCTAAAATATCCGTGTTTTGGCTTTGTTTTCCTCCAGTCCTCATATACATTAGATGCAGAGCTGAGTAGCAACTGATTACATGTAATCTGGATTATGTAATCGGATTCCGAAAATTATCAGTAATATCAGTATGGTACAATATTATCCTATTCAAACCAATGTGATAAACGTTACATTAAAGTTACGTTAAAAAGTCATCAGAAAGTACCTCAAATGTGTAATGTAATGGATTAGCCTACGTTACGAACTACAATTTGTGTCATGTAATTTGGAATCAGTAACAGACTACAATTTGTAAGTTATCTACCCAGCTCTGATTATATGCACACGTATCTGCATTGTTCTGTAGATTGGTCGATTATGCACAACGCCTGCACGTTATTGGTCAAACTACTTTTCAGTCATTACCATCAGCAAGTATGAAACAAACAAAGCCAAAACTTGGACATTTTAGACAATTTAGAAATCCCAGCCAGGAAAGAGGACTCAGGGGCATCCTAAAATCCAAAGATTATATAATTGCAGAATGAAATCCTCACTTGCAGATCTTATTGGCAGCGGGACTGGATGCCACGCCGTACAGGTTAAAGGACACAGGTGCCGTGGCTTTCAGAGGGTTTCGGTGGAACCAGTGAGTCATGGTGAGAGAGGATACCTGAACGAGAAGAAAGACGCTATTATCAAGTTTATTTCAATATTTGATCTTAAGGACATTTTATTCGCTGTTGTATGACCACCACCAAATATCCAGTGTAACATCCGGATCCTGACCATCTGAGAACCACTTAACTAGACATTATATGATTTTCTATATAACTGAGAGTCCACACTGATGTTATGAACACTGATATTGTCAGTGCTTGTGAGATATACAAGTTATAAGCGACTGAGCACATTACACATCTATTAATACGCAGTGAATTTTCCTATTAAGAAATATTATTGACAAAAGAAGACTTTAAAGATCAGATCAATGGTTCTGTGTGAATGATCAGTGAGTCATTTGATAAGGCAGGTCCATTTCTAACATCTCGGCCTCGTTTATCAACAGATCTGCATGAGTAAAACAGATATAGATCCAATAAACTGTCTAAAACTACCTGCGGTTGATGCCTTATCGTCTACAAACGAAAACACACTGATCTTAATGTTGTTCAATATATGAGAGAAATCAACTGAGTCAGAGACACGCTCAAATCTCACAACAGACTCCTAACGCTTGTTTTAAATAAAATAGATATGTCTCTATACCAGAAATGTGTCGACTTGTCAGACGTTTGTTGTTTTAATCGGAGAGACTCTGAAGATGAAGATCAGGAAACGCCAAAACAATGAACGCTCTTCCGGTGTGACGTAACTCGGGCGGTGACGTCATGGACACGCCCATTGGTTTAAACCCCCCGCTTACGTAATTATGCGTGTTTTGCGTTTTATTACTGGTTGCGGTTGTCAGTGTTGGGGAAAGTTACTTTTAAAAGTAATGCATTACAATATTGCGTTACTCCATAAAAAAAGTAACTAATTACGTTACTTAGTTACTTTTTATGGAAAGTAATGCGTTGCGCTACTTTTGCGTTACTTTTTAAATCTGGACAGGGCTTGCGTGTTTGTTTTTAAAATAAAAAAGTTATATTTCTGGCAAATATAAAAGCCTTTTCACACCAAAAGTGAAATGAAATTTACGTCTGTACAGTAGATTGCAGAAGAAGACATTTCAACACACTTCAGCAATAAAAAAAGACTTTTAATTTAATAATTTGTGCTGATTAGTACGGTTGAACCTGATCATCGAAGGTCAGAAGCAAAGACATTGGTTAATAGAATGGGATTAAATACATAAAGCATATTTGTGTTGTTTAACATTTAATTATTGCAGGATTGCGTCATATTCTGAGTTGCATTATTTTTTATTCATTTTGAGGAATACTGAATCTGTTTTTTGAGAGTGAGATGAATGAATGCATATTCATATTTATTTTAGAACTACAGTAACATCTGATTTCTCTCAACATGGGGACAGGAGAGCTGTCAGTCAGTAAATTGGAAAAAAAGTAACTTGCGTTACTTATTTAAAAAAGTAACTCGGATATTCTCTTGTAAATTAAAAAGTAATGCGTTACTTTACTAGTTACTTGAAAAAAAGTAATCTGATTACGTAACTCACGTTACTTGTAATGAGTTACCCCCAACACTTGTGGTTGTACATTATAATTTTTGTTTCTTTATGCAAAAAAAAAAAGTTACTAATTTGAATATGCAGTAAAATACGGACCAGGTACAGACAGCCTAAAGAAAACGGATACAAATTTTACTTTCACAAAAGCGACTTACATAAGTCAGAATGACTTGGTGAGAAAAAGAAAAACCAAAGTCCCTTTCAATAATTTCTATAGTCTTTGGAAAAACAGCCACATTAAAAAAAAAACACTTAACCAATTTACCAACTCACTTATCTTACATTAGAGCTCCATTATGGTAACATGCTAAATTAAAGAAACATTACAGAGAAAGAAGATTTAAAAAAAATAAAATAGCTTTTAATTTTAATTTTATTTAGTTTAAATTTTGTTGTGTTTTTGTCCTTTTTATTAGTTTGTCTTTTTAAATATGTCTATATAGGCTAGTTATATGTTTTAGTTTAATTCGTTTCAGTAATTTTATTACTTCTACTTCAAACTAAACAATGAGAAACATTGCCTTGGCAACTAGCTGAAATAAAATATTTTACTTAATTTAATATATATTTAAGATACTAAAAAGCTTCACATTACATTACAAGATTTATTTTGTGTAATAAATGTCAGCATTTATGTTTTATTAAAGCATTGGACGTGCTATGTAATGATCAATGTGATACAAGTATCAATGTGTCATTGGATGTGAAATGTATCGCGAATCGTGTGATTCAGATCGGGACTTCGGAGCATGTATCGGGAATATTTTGATTCAGATCGGGACTTCTGAGCATGTATCGCGAATCGTGTGATTCAGATCGGGACTTCGGAGCATGTATCGCGAATCGTTTGATTCAGATTGGGACTTGGGAGCATGTATCGGGAATATTTTGATTCAGATCGGGACTTCAGAGCATGTATCGGGAATATTTTGATTCAGATCAGGACTTCACCATCGGGACTTCGGAGCATGTATTGGGAATATTTTGATTCAGATCGGGACTTCGGAGCATGTATCGCGAATCGTGTGATTCAGATCGGGACTTCGGAGCATGTATCG